TAGATAATATATTTATGAAATTAGATAATATTTTTATTAAATATAGAATATTTTATTAATATTTTTAATTTAATAAACTGATATACTATTAGCTTTTTTAAATATTAATTTTCTCTTTTGAAAATAGTTTCTTTCTGACTATAATCAGGATAAAAAGAATAATCATATAAAATCCTGATATATAAATTATTTTTTTAAGTTTAAAATATAAATTTTCTCCAAATAAATAGAATAAAAAATAATTATTTTATATTCTAATATTATTATTTTAATATTACTAATCCTTATTGTTTTTCTTTCTTTCTTAATTAAGATATATTCAATAAAAATATTTAATAAATTATAGATATAACTATTAGAAATAATATTAAAAATCTATTAGAATAAATAAAATATTAATGAAATTTCTAAATTAAAAATTCATTTATTAATTATTGGCAAAATTTTTAATTAGTTAATTTATTATTCTAGATAAAAGATGTTTAGTAAGTTTGACCGTATTAATCAAATAAACATGTTGGTTTAAAACTATTTTAAAAGCTTTTTTTAAATAGTTTAAAGCTTTTCTTCAGATTTTTAATTAAAATCTTCAAAATTCTTATTAATATAAAAATAATTCTTAAAAGTATAAACTTTATTATTTTTACTTAAATTATATAGATAAAATTAATTTTTCTTTTTATAATTTTTTTATTAATTTATCTTGTTCGAAAAATTAATTTAAAATTATTAGATTAATTATAAAAGATAGTTTCGCTCATTCACTCTATTGATTGAATAGATTATTTAATTTAAAAATTTAAATAAATCTAATTATATATTTAATATATAATTCAAAAAAACTCTTTGAGTTTTTTCATTTTATAATCAATTAGTTGATTTAATCTCTTATATTACTATAAAATCTTTTATTATTTTCTAAGTTAATTTAAGAAGATTATATATTATTTAGATTAAACTAGATATTTTATTTAACTTTAATTTTACTTTTTTTAAATAGATTAATCTTTTTAATTTATATAATTTTTAATAAAACTTTTTATTTCTAATCAGAACTTAGTATATTTATTAATAATATGTTTATTTAAAACTAATTAATACAAAAATTCTAATTTTTAAAACTTTCCAAATTAAAGAAAGTTCTTTCTATTAAATGTAGTATATTAATTTAATTTATTTGATATAAAATCAATTAATTAGCTTAAAAAACTAATTATTAAACATTCTTTTTATTTTTTAATCTAGTTATAATAATTTTTATTTTATTTTCTGATATAGCAGACAGTTAGATTTACTAATATTTGATAAAAAATAATTTATTAATTAATTTAATTAATTAAAGATAATATAGCTCTTTTAAAATAAATAGATTTAATTAGCAGATCTAAATTTATAAATTTCTATATATTTTTATTAATAGTTAATAATTAGATCTGATTAATCTAATAATACTACTTAGATTAATTATTCAAAATAGAAAATGTTTTAGATTATTAATTTACAGTTAAATTTTAAATGAAGAAATTACAATAATAAATATATAAATAGATAAATAAAGCTTAGATATCAATGAATGATTAAAATAAAAATACAACCAGACTTATAACTGAAGAGAATTTTCAATATTTTTATTTTTATTTTAGTAAAATCTTAGTTTTTATTCAAATTTCATATAGGATTCTATATAAGTTTTAAATAAAAAATAAAATAAATCAAAAAATAAATAAAATTAATTTTTTAAATTAGTAACTGATTAACTGATTAAATTACTGAATTCAAACCATTTACTGAACTAATTGAAAAAAAATAATAATTTTTGATTTCTTATTTATAATTAAATAGCTATATTAATTTTCCGAGGTTTTCCGCAAATATCTAAAAATATATAAGTAAAAAAAATTAAGAAATCTCTATTGAATAAAAATAATAAAATAAATAGAATAAGATTATTTCAGACTGTGTTTTTATTAAAAGATTATTAGAATTCAAAAATTTATCCTATAAACTGGTTAATCTAAGGCAGTAAACTAATGAGTCTAAGATAGCAAACTGGCGAGTCTAAGGCTACCAACTGGCTATATGATTGATAATAATATAGCTAGATTTTTTTCAGCTGTTAAATTTTATCATTATTGTATAAATTCTGAAAAAACATAATAGTAGTTAGTAGACTTTAGTCTAATTTTTATTCCTTATTTTCAATATAAAATAGTTAGTATTAATTATAAGATATATCGGAATCTTTTTATTTTTAAAAATTTAACATAATAAAAAGAACTATTAAATTAGTTTTTTAAAATTCTTTCTTAACAGAAATTTTTTTAATAGTAAAAAATAGTATATAATTATATGAAAACTTTAGTCTGTCGGCGGCTTAAAATAGATTTAATTTTTTTAATTATTTATTAATTTTTAAAAAAATAAAAATATTTAAGCTAAAACTAATAATAAAACTATACTATTTATAAGATTCAAAAATAAATAAATTTATTAAATATAATCTTTATTGTATAGTAGAAGAATAAATAATTTTCAATAAATAAATAAATAAAAATTTTTAAAATCAAAAATTATCTAAACATTATATATAAAATTTTCATGTTAGATTTAAAATAGTTTTAATATAATAATAGTCTAATTTATAATAAGAATATTTATTATTATTATAATAAAAAATCTTTAAATATAAAGATTATTAATATATAGTAAATAGATTTATAAAATCATAATTAAATATAATAGATTATTTTTAATAATTATTATGTTAAGATTTATGCTGATTTTTTAGATATATAAGATTAAATTAACTAAAGATTTTTTAAAAATAATTATAAACTTTAGTATTATATTATAAACAGTAGTTATTTTAAAATCCAAAAAATAAAATAAATTATAATAATCTTTTCAAAATAAAATAGTAATTTTAAATATGTTTTAAAATTCCGACTGATATTATCTTTGAATATAAAAAATAAAATATTAAAATATATATAAACGTTTTATATTAAGTATTTAAATTTAAAAAAATATTATAGATCTATAGTTATTTTATTTTAAATAGTATAATTGTTTTAATTTACAAATATAATTAGATTTATTAAATAAATATTGACATAGAATTAGAATATTCAGAAATTATTTAAAATTTAATTTTTATTTTTAATATAAAATCAGATTTAAATATATAAAATCTTATTTGAACAGCTGATAGTATAGGACTTCCGAATAGTGTTAATAATATATTAATTAATATTAATATCTATTTTTTAAAGTTAGAAAATAAAATATTTAAAATTAGAACAGTTACTTTTAAACTTATTAAAATTAATTAAATATTTAAAAAAGATTAAAAATAAAAGATATAAAATTGACTTATATAATTATTTCTATTAAAATAGCTAATGATCTTTTTATAATAGATTTTAAAATCTAATTTAAAATATTTATTATAAAACTAGCTAGTTAAATAGCTTTAATAAACTTAATTTTAATTTATATTAATTTTTTAGTATTAATATTCCAACAGCAGTTATTTTTATAAATAATTTATATTAGTTTTTTTTAAATGTATTTAACTTAACATAATAATAGAATATTTATTATTATTATTATTATATATTAAATCTTGATATAAACTGCTTTTATATGTATAATATATTAAATAAAACTTTCTAATATTATTGAAAGTTATAGAATTACCAATATTTTATTAGACTACTATTTCTAAAATAAAAGCTATATAATATTAAAATATAGCTGGATTTATAAATATCAGTTATAAAATATTAGTTAATCAAAATAATAAAATTAACAAAATTATTTAAAATTATTTAATAACAATTTTTTTAATTTTTAATTAGCTGTTTAGTTAGACTATTTTTAGATTTATAGATAAGATATAGCTTAAAAAACTATAAATAAAATTAAAAATAAATAAAAGATTAAGAAGATTATATATAATAAAGCAGTTGGAAAGAGCAGTAGAATTATTAAAATATTTAAAATTATTTAGATTATTTAAATAAATTAAATAGATTGAATAAATAGAGTAGGCTGGGTAGACTAGGTCTATATGTGATATTTAGAGTATTCAGAATAAAATGTATTTTTAATATATCAAAAAATTAAATAGATCTTATTGAAAATTAAATCCATATTTATTAACTATACAAATCTATTAGAAATTGATTTTTTTCAACAGATCTATAATTTTGAAATTTAACTATGTATCAATTTCTGATATAATAAAAGAACTTGAATACAGTAAATAATATTTTATTATTTTCTGAATACATATATTAAGAGTAGTATTAAATATTCTAAACTCTATGTTTCAGCATAATACTTCAATTTAAATAATTATTTTGTAATCAAAACAACAAGAACTATATGAATTTAACATGTAATTTCTGATAATAATAAAATTATAATTTATTACATGGATTTCTATGGTAAGTAATAATATAGTAATATATTAATTACCGCTAAGAAATGAGAGCAGTTGAATAACTTTTATTACACAGCTCTGTAATAATCCTAATAACTTTTATGTAAGTGGTTGTTAGGCATTCTTAAGTACTTAATAAGAAGTTTCTAACAACCTATGAAGATGATGTGGAATTAATCTATGTTTTATGTAAATACATAAATAGCTTGGGAATCACATAATATTTCCAGGCGGTTAATGAATAAATTTGTGCCATACAATTGAAATAACAAGGTCGGCTTATCTGTAATCTGGTAAGTGCCAACTGACTCTGTATCAGGAAGTGTGGGGCGCACCTTCCTCCCTTCCATGTCGCGCGGAGCTTGCTGCTTTCGTGTCAACATTAAATCAACCACCATACGACGTGAGACAGAGATTCTCAAGTCATTTTGCCCAAGCTTTCTGTCCACAATTCATGGTTGCCTGGCAATTTTAAACCTGCGTTTTTCTCAGATATATCTGTTCTAACTAATCCTTCGTTTGGCTGGATTGAACCCCTTACCTACCTTTCACCATGAACATCTTCAGGTTGTCAGGTAAGTATCGAGCGCGCCCTCCAGGAGCATATCCCAATTTTAATTTGGTTGACCTAGCCGATTTCTCTCATCTCGCATCTATTTTCATTCTCTTGCAGAAGATGAAGTCATCGAGTGTAAGTCAGCAGCATGCATGGTCCCCCAATCGGGTAATTGATCGCGATAATAGAGCTGCTCGGGGCTATCATTTAAATCTCAGGTTCTATACCTAATGGTTTTCGTCACGCGATATCTTGGTGAGTCGTGCTGCCAACATGCAAACAATCTGCTCTAATATTGTGCTTTGACCGAAGACTTGTTTTGGGCTTTTACCGACTCCCTCTACAATACAACTTTCAAAATCTTGTTCATAGGCTCTTCCGCTTATATCATTTATCTTATGCTCACCGAGTACAAGCCCACGCATGATCCGAACCTCGATACCTTCAAGGTGCAATATCTTCTCTGCTTCAGTGCCCTTTTGGCTTTGTTGTTTCCCCACGACTACACTATCTCCGAGGTCAGTCTCCGAGCCCAGTATCTGAATCGTCCGCTCAGAACTTCGTGCAGATTCTTTGGACGTTTTCCATATGGTTGGAATCCGTCGCCATTCTTCCGCAGCTTTTCATGCTTCAGCGCACCGGAGAGGCAGACACCATAACGACACACTACCTTTTTGCGCTAGGCCTCTACCGCGCTCTTTACATCCCCAATTGGATCTACCGGTATTATGCTGAACGTCACTTTCACATCATTCCAGTCATTGCTGGCATCGTACAAACACTACTGTATTCTGATTTCTTCTATATATACTATACCAAGTGAGTTGCCCCAGCTTCTCGAGCTGGCTCTTAAGAGTACTGACTACTGTGCTAGGGTGATGAAGGGTAAAAAGTTCTCACTCCCGGTCTAGGCCATGTTCTAGCGTGGTATACTTTGACCCACAAACAACAAAGGGCTGCTCGATGTGCGGAGTTTCATTTGACTTTACTCTTACAAGGCACCACATCATCTATCAGCAGGGCAATGTTTGACGCTGTCTTTCCCTTTCCTCTCATTGTGCTTTTCAGCATCCTCTATCTCCCGATTCATCACGGAATATGTATTTGTCATTGCTTAATCTTGGTGGTCAATCTGTACTGTAGTTGGAAAATTCTTATTTTTAGAGGATGGCACTGATATGAGAATCTTTAAAACAAGGTCCTCTACTCAGTTCACAAACGAGTATAATCTCAACACATACTTCATGTTATAAACCCAATTCAAAGCAGGAGACTGGACAAACTGGACATAGATAATTGAAAACAAACCAGAGCATTTTCGCTCGGCGTGCCAATCCCTGGCAGTGTTTTAATCGTTAGCTGTGCCGAGATGCAAGGTAAACTAAGATCTCCTTGGAGATCCAGTGGATCTCAATAGCTTCTTCGACCAGATGATCCATGTGCTGGAGCATAGCTTATGCCATAACCTATTTGAGGTGGTGAGACCGACAAGTCACTTTGGAATGGCTCTGGAACTCCCGGGACAGACCCCGAAAGGTGGCTCATCGCTCCACCTCCGTATGAGCGTATATTAGTGGAAGACAGCGGCTGCCTCTCTTGTACGTTTCTTTGGTTGTCTAACCAATTACCATGATTGCGATGACTACTGAATTGACTAAACAAATCAGCCTGGGATCTGTCCAACGACAATTGTGCGTTCAAATTGGAGTCGCGCCTAGAAATTGGTGGCGATGGGAGTGCTGGCGAGCGCGACACTGTCTCTAGTCGCGGAGAGCTCCTTCTTGAACTAGGAGGCGTCAATCGGGAGCCCCCGCGACGCACTTGGCAAGTAGGACATATCTTGACAAAGCGTGAGATGAGCTCTTTCGGAACCCTTCAAGAATATGACGTAAATTCCTAAAAGTCAGACTGCGTACTAATGCATAAAGAGTATGGGTCGCAATGCACATGAGGAGAACGCAAGGACGACGTTGCAGGCTCTACCTTGCACGATACATATTTACTCACCACGAATAGATCTGTCGAACTTGAGCTGAGGTCTTGTCCCTTCCGCCATGTTGACATTGTTGATGTGCTCTTGTTAGAATCTTGAAGAGCTTCTCTCGAATGGCCACTGGTTTCCCTTCGTGGCAAATTAACCTTGTATACTGTGCTGGCATGTCTGGGTAAGCAATTTGGGGAACCTGTGATTTGGATATGAATACTGACATCTGATACTCCAGGACCAACAGCCTGAAGCTTGAACATCTTTTTCACCCAAAATCTAATGAAGGATAACCTCAGCAGATGCTAACATGGGAGATATGATATAAGATGAGGGTACAGCGCTGCTGTAACCTTTATCTCGACGGAAGGGTAGGATCTGGTCTTACCGAAATTGAGCTGATTCTATAGCTGTATCTTTAGGGTCTAACAGCACGATCTTGATATTTCGCGCTCTTTTAGCATGGATCAATGCCTTGTCTTGCTTCTTGACAGATAAGTCGTCGACGTAACTAGTAAGCGTCTTAATGAGTATAACTATGACTATTTAGACGTCTCGGGAAGATAATGACAACTATACCTTTTCATTAATTGGTCAAACTCCCTCACATTTGGAAAGCCTTCTAGTGGTGGTACAACTGGTTCTGAAAGCATGGTGTGCTCATTGCTGGAGTCCTGGGCCTCGATGTCCGCATCACCGAGCGCTTCGCGAAGGATGAAATAGCTGGGCGACTGAATATAGTGTGAATGGGAGAGATACTGCGTAGAATGCTGCTGCAGGGGCACATGGTCGGGCGTTAAAGGAATGGAATGCGCTGGGGAATGGTTGCTTGAGGAAAAATGATGCGTGGTTGTGGATAGGCTGGGGTGACTGTATGGTGAAGTAAAATGTGGTGTCAAAGGATGAAAAGGTGGTTGGCTGAAACTGAATGCCCCTGGCTCATTTACACTGAAGTCATTGTTGTCATTATGGCTGTACGGAAGAGGTGAGGCCGTTTGGTGGGTGAAATTGTAACCAACGTGATTCTCATTGCGTCTTGTATAGCCGCTCATGCTGTTCTGGAGCCTGCCGCAAGCAAGTTGGATCTCCAAAGAAAGCTAGTCCGAGTCAAGACAGCAAGTTGGGTGACACTAACAAAGAAAAACTGTCTTGACGAGCGTGGGCAGACAAGAAATGGGCGAAGGGGGAGGGTTTGGGTTGGAGCGACGAGGCAAGGAAAGCTCTTCGCAGAACACAAGCACGGAAAAAGGCGGGGGCACGACACCAGTATGGTACTGCACTCCTCAAAGAGTCTTGTTTAGCTTGCACGGAATCAGGGACAAAGCTTGAGCATTAATCCAGGATGGGAACCCAGCGCCAGTTAAATAGTTTGAAGGAAAAGCATGGAATCGATTGGGGGCTGATGAAGTAGTCTTCGATACAACAGCTTCCCAGTGCAACTCGGATATAAACTTCGAAAGTGCGATATGTATCCAAACAAGAGGAATTATTAGGCAGGGGTGTAATCAAGACCACCACCAACCTACCCGGGTGTGCAGGTACGCCCTCTCTGCGGTATGACCCTAGGCATCAGAGGAAGAGAGAGAGAGAGAGAGACATTTGCTTATTCTTGATCGCATGAATTGCTCCTGGCGGCCATGGACACCCTTACCGACAGAGAAGCATCACCAGTGAACAAGAACGAAGTGCACAACAGGAGGCAATAGTAGTCAGGGAGAATATTCGGGAAATCAGAAGACGACCTGTAGGGCATCAGCTCCTAGCTCAAGGACCGAATGCGGCAAAGACATGCAGTAAGACTCTTGATAGTCAGAGAGATCTGTGGTACTTACAGGGTTCAAGCATGGAAGTCCAATTACATGAAGGATTAGATTGGACATGACATGGGCAGAACCAGGGCAATGCATGGGTAACCAGCAGGGGAGGGGAGGATTGAGGTCACAGGAAGTTGTTGAGTATAGAAGTTAGAGATCAGGTTAGAAGGACACCTACCTACTTGCCTAGCCATGGCTGCTTGCTACCTTTAAGTAACCGGCCCTGAGCTTGTGAGTGGGTTGGAATGCCAGGTAGCTAGTAGCTGTGTAGGAGACGTAATTTAGGGGTTTATACCACGGTACTTGGCACGCGATGCCTACCGTACTGCGCAGCCTGCTGCAATTCATGATATCGATGTTTATTGCTATAGTCACTCGCTTTCTTCCTTTCTGTTCTCGCTCTCTTCCTTTTGTTTCCTATTTTTTTTCTTTTCTCATCCAATGCCAAATGTTGCAAGCTGTCGGGCGAGAATTCTCTCATCCTAGTCAGTTATTCTTCCTCCCTTACTTTGCCAGTACGAGGTCTAAGATCACGCCCGAGGTTGACCAAGGCAGGAGGGAGTTTATCTGACAGTTAGTGACTCTATCTCCAATAGCAAAGTACGAGAAGGTATCACCCCCGAATGAAAAAAGAGTACGAAGTAGTCGAGTATCCAATATCCTAGGCTTTGATCCTTGCAGGGTCAGTTGTATTTCCGCTCTCTATGCTCAGCGTCGGGCCTAAGACGCAGAGTACCATGTTGATAACCTTGTACTGCCCGAGCAAATAGGATGCGTAATGTTTCCATCTAGGCTCCGGGATATATCGTACTCCGTACTGTAGCCATGCTCTGGGTAACTCGATTTTTATAGGTTTCTTCCCTATGCTATCCCTGGCGCCTTAAGTACATGATGCCGAGGTGATCAGAGATTATGCAGGGTGGTTGGTAGCTTGGATCGAGAGGTAGCAGAGGCAATACGTCCCCCACTGGGAAGTGGTGCCTGATACACCTGATAGGGCTCTGTCGCCTTACGCTGGACAAAAGCTTTTCGCGTTACGTGTTCTTCGGATTCCAATGCCAACATCCCAATCCCTGCCATCAGGAGGCTCTTGTAGTTCTTCAGCTATATGCTATAACCGACTTGAAAATTTACTGTAGAGATCTACGAGAGTTCTTGCTCACGGCAGCACAGAAGCCATGGGATTTGGGTATTTTAGGCCATCAGAAGCTCCCAGATGAACTAGTCAATTTCCAAATAGCCACATTTAAGAGCCACGAGCCGTGATGGCCGAGAGCGAGATGAGACGATTCTTTTCATGCAGGTAGCCGGGCCACTGCATCGAACCTAGTGACTATAGGACTGGACCCATGAGCAGGGTTCCGCCTTATTTTGTTCTCCCGCCTTATCCCTCATAATCCTTCTGCTCTTCTCCGTGACCTTCCTCACTAATCAGGTCTCAGACCGTGTACCTGTTGTCCCTAGCCCCAGGGGCACAGTTCTGCTACTTAATTTGGGATTCAGGGTACTGCATCAGACAGTGTAGGATCCAGGTTATGATGAGGACTTGACTCGTTGTGCATGCAAAGCCCTAGGCTATTGGGGCTTGCTGGCAGTTCGTAGCCAATAGCCCTCAGATCGAGCCGCCACGCCACAATTGTCGTCCATCTTCCATGCTACCGGGAAGAGTTAAGTATATCTCCCGAGGACTGAGGGAGGCGTGGTCATCGTGGACAACAAACCGAGCAATGCCCTCTGATTTAAGCAAGTATACAGCATAATTGCTTACACCTATGATAATCTAGCTATCATTATCACAATGCAGTGAGTAATCGTGGCTGTGATGTGATCTAGCATTCGTAACTGTACTCTGTTGACCACAGCAACCCCTAATGATTCTTTACTTCTATCCGTGATCGGGTGTACAGCTACTTAAGCAGACATTGTAATATACAGTACACCATGGTATGTATTTTATGTGCTATCACGCCTTTCCATAGTGGAAAGATTAGAGAAGGGCAGCTGATACGAGGGAGTGCATGGCAGGGCGATCAGTGGTGGATTCTATACCTCTTGAACCTGGCAAACAAACCCATGCAGCTATCGGAGTGGCGGCCAAGGTGTTGGCTGCAATCAGGGCGAAGGCATAAGGTGATTGGTGAAAAGTGTATAACTACAGCGCAGACAGCATATGCAGCATATCATATATCGCTGCACAAGTATAATACCTACGATTACTCAAGCAGCGGGAGTAGATTTGTGTACTGTAGTTATGAGTGTTGAGTAACCCATTCTAAGCATCTGAGATGAACCGGTAGTTTTACAGGGCGGTCGAACCAATAGTTTACTTACGTCTTACCTGTGTTGGCCGACAGGCAGCCCGGCTTATGAATACAAGCTAGAATTGGCACGGGACATGTTAATTCTGCTCCTCGGTTCAGAGCCCTGTCGCATATAGGCAAACATCCTAGAGTGGTACAGTGTATACATAATCATGGATAGCAGTAGCATTCATCAACAAGAGCAATTATCCACCGCACTAGGGACCGCACGCCATCCAGGCGTGCCTAATGCTTACGGAGTGATCATAACTACCGTATTTGAATGACAGAAGAATGAAGTTGAAGTAGAACAAGATTAAGGGAGTGGTGCTTTGGCTCACAGGACATTGAGAAAGGTTGCTGCAGGGGCGTACCTACTCCTTAGAAAGCAATATGACCTAGCCCTGGGGCCCCGGGCCGTTTCCCTCCCCCCTCTCCCCCGGATTTAAGAGCCAGGTCTTCATTACGCCTTTGAAGATTTAGGTAGAATCCAGATAAGCCACTCAAAAACGTATGCTTATAGATCAATCATCGCAACATGATGTACGGTATTCCCTAACCACCGAAAGTCCCATGCTGATATATCCGACCTGACGTAACATTGTATGACCAACTGAGATTATGAAGACTTGCTTTATCAGCCGGTACTAAAGTTCCGCATTCCCTCAAGAGTGCGGAATGTCTCGGATTGATCAGATTTGTATGGATGATGGATGTCAACCTAGCTAGGTGAATGTAAGTACAGTATTCGTCAATCCATTAAGGACAAACAACCACACATTTTCTTCGTAACGTCGTATAAATGAACATGAATATGGCATCATGAAGCCTTATGCGACGGGCACGCTGTGGACGCAGATTTAGATCACATGGCAGCAGAATTGAGTCGCACCGCTGCAGATGTGGTATCTCGATCTACCAGCCTACCCTTAGCCGCAACCGCGGCAATAGCCTTTCATACATGGTGAACGTCCGGGGCATTGACAGTGCCGTTGAAGCGTACCAGATCTCGGATAGCCCATCTCCAGCCATCTCCGAGCTTTGCACAATCAAGTCTCGTCCATTTTTCCACCTTGCGCCTCCATTTCTCTTCCTCAGCGCGCTGTCTCCTGATGAACTCGGGCCCAACATCAAATTCCTCCGTTATGGGCCATTCGTCTGAGGAGTCGCCGTAGCTTCGGTCGTCTCCGCTTGCTGCAAGGCAAGGGTCCTCATGATTAGTTGATGATCGCCCACCTACCATGCCAGAGCCTTCTTTCAAGTCATCGAGACTAGCAAAGACATCATCTTCGTCCTGAATAGCTACCAACCCATCCCGCCCAGGCTGCGACGGCGCCAGTTTCAGCCAGCACATACGTCGCGGGTCAAATACCATCCCGCCAACAACCTGCACATTCTGCATGGCTCCGATATTTGTGATGAGAGCGGGTGTTGGCTTTGGAGATTTTGGTGCACTTGTCTCAAAGGCACGAACAGAGCTCTCATTCCCCTCCCAAGAGAAGGATTTCGGATTGTATCGCATACCATTGATCGCTGAAGTGTAAAATCATTAGCCACGGTTTTCTCACTTGCCGCGCGGGAAAGCCTGACTTACACTTGGCCTCCTGTACACCGGTGCCCAGTGGCTTAATTAGATGGGGCCTAGAAACATGCAGCGCAGTGGCCTTACCCTTCTTGCCTCTGCTGGCAACCGAGCTGGAAGGCATCCGGGAGATATTGGAGGTTCTTGCGTTCGAGCCAAGAGGAGCAAGTGGATGGCTCTCGCGAAGTTTGGAATTCGATGACAAAGAGGCTATGCGCTGTTCCCTTGCATTCCTTGATGCATTAGTGTCTCGTGCAAACCTGGGGGTATTATCGAAGTTGAGAGATGCGGCCAAGTTACTGGAGGTTGACCGGGAGATTGTTTCTGTTTTGGGAGAAACAGTCGGGCTGCGACCCAGCTTATTTGTGAATGATCGTGGGACACCCCGTCCGGAGGGATGTTTCACAAATCTACTTTCCGCAGAGGTAGATGTAGGCAAATCATCGAACAGAGCCAATTCCGATCCATCTCCAAAATTCCGCCGTCGAGTTGGCCGAGTGATTGTCCGTTTAGTAACAGTGGTCAAGGCCTCTGGACTAGATTCAGAATGACTCCTACTAAACATGTCATGACCATTTCGCGAGGATCGAGCGGCGTAGCTTGTAAGGAAGGAATCGTTCGAACTGTTAAGGTTATTTCGACGATTTTGACGGTGGTTTTTAAGGCTTGCATGGTGCGACTGCTTTTCTGACGCTCCAGCAGGGATGAAAGGCACTTGTGCTTTTCGCATGAGCCCTTTCACGTCGTGCCCCAAGCAATCTACTGGGGTTTTAGGACGGTACATAGATTTAGACATTGAACTTGACACATCAGAGTAGCTGGAAAAACATTGACCCAAGGGCGACGTGGCGCTGTGCTGTGCATCACGCATTGTTGGCATTGAACGCTTAGAGGCCAGACACCTGCCGAAAGGGACACCGTCGCTTGCAAAAGGTTCCTTGCTCATTCGACTTGTGTGCCGTCGATGAGACGTCGAAGATTGCTGAACAGAAGGGAGGCTGGACACAGAATATTGTGCTGAATGGTTCCCAACTAGGGTCTGTAATTCTCTGAACTGTGAAAGAGGCGCACCACTCTCCGAGACAGTCTCTAAATTTGTCGAGTGTGGGCGATCGGGACCGGATAGACGCGGAATCCGAGATTTAGGAGATATTGTCATGTTAGTGAACGTGAGAGTCGTTGTGGAGTGTCGCACAGGACTTCGAGAGTTTTCGGGTTTGCACTTAATGTTCGGGTTTATCGAGAGCCTTTGAGGATCAAATAGTCCGTCCTCGATCTCAAGTTCGGAAAAGAAATCGTCACTTCTGTTTGAAGCTTGACTGACACAAGGAGGCTTTGCGCAAGCCAGGTCCTGATCTACAGGCGCTCCCCTTTTTTTGAAATGGGATTCTAAGTCTAAAGGCTCTTCAGGAATAACGAGACCATCGAGGCCGTCGTCTTCACTTTCAGCCGTGAGACAGCTAGAAGCGCTTGGGCTCACAACGGACATAGATGACGGGTTCGATCGATGCTCCCTAGTGGCCCCACCAAACCGGACCCCAATACTGCCTTCGGACCAATCTAACTCGATTTCTTCTGTAGAAGGGCTCAAAGGCCCTGCACTGGCATTGCGAGGAGTAAGTCGCAACGGTAAATCACCGTTTGGTAATTCAAAGTCTTGCTCACAATCGTCCCCTGAACAGTGGTCCTTATGAAGCATGAAATTATTGACAAGCGAGGGCCTGTCTGGCGAACGAGGTCTCGCAACTTTGATTGTAGGGATATCATGAGCGTCGTCCGTATCGTCGTCCATTCGGGGGATTGCCGGGATTGACAAGGCCGGTTGTAGTCGCGTTGAGATGTCAGTATCCCATGTAGCTGATGCCGATGCTTTGATAGGACTTACTGCAGCGGAGCTGACTTGTCGTAGCGCCTCAGGAAAAGACGTATCCAAAGGCTCTCTCAACTGCAGTATTCCGTCGGGACCAGGAAAATCCACGTCATCAGCCCAATCGTCGACCGTGTTTGTGTTGGGTTTCCTCCGCCCAAGGCGTTTGATGGTACCACCAACAAGGGCTGATTTAGGGACATTTATGGGCAGAGGTATTCCGGCATGTTTGGCAGAAGCAATAGCCTCTTCAGTGATCATCTCATCGTTGTCCAGCAACTGAACTTGCCAGTCCTCATCGCCACCGCCGTTTGATTCCAAATCCGAGCGTGCAGAGCGACGAGAAGATATGGAGTCCCGATGCACTGAATGACGGACCGATGAGTTTGTCACAGAGGTCGCACTTGATGCCGCTCGCAGCTGGAATTCCTCATAGCATTGCAGGTCTTCATCGCCATCCCAACACTCGATCGATTCCTCGTCGCCACTTCGTAATTCGAGGGTCAAAGCAGCCATGTTCCGCGTAAAAGACCATCTGCAAAAGGTAACACAATGTCCAGGGTGTTTTTAAAGATTGATGACAGGCTCAGGGCACTCCAGCGCTGACACGAAATTGAAGAAACTGAGTCATCCCGCGCGGGAGAGGACCAGTCAATCGGCAGATGCTCCTATACGCAGCGTCAATAGCAGAAACAAAACACCCTTTAGCCCAGCCTGTGATTGCTCGTGTAGGTCAATGATGAAGTGGCATGGAAATGAGATGGAGGACAGGAGGGTTATAATCAAAACAGTGAGATATGCTTGGAGCTGATATTGACCATATGGAATTTGCAGTCTTAGCAGCCGTCAAGTTGACATGTTTGCACAAGTTTAAAAAGATAGGACTCTGTGGACAAGTCCAGTACACGAAATCCACGAGACCTTACGTAGCACTCCTAGCCGTGCAAGGTAGTAAGCGCGTGGTAGTGGTGGTGGTGGTGGTGGTGGTGGAGGCGACGGCGGCTGGACGGATTCCGCTTGGGTAATGTGCAGCACCTTATCTAGGTAAGGGTATAAAGAACTTGAAGGCTAGAAACCATGCACCCACCCACTGAGAACTATGCGCTAAATTATCCACGTGAAATAGGGGCAAGGCGGCAATCACAAATCAGATGTTAACAAGCATCGCTAATCTCCTTAGCATTTAGTCTGTTATATTCTGAAGATTTTCCGCCGGAGGCCCGTAAAGGGCGGTGGTAGCCATCAAGTTCATGACCAATTAAGTATGTATTGCTCGGTATGGTTTTAATAGCGCAGAGTGCGTAGAGTGAGTCAATTGCCAACCAAGCAAGCAAGTTACTTTTGGACGTCTTCTCACCCCTGTTGTTGATGGATGTTGAAGGATTTTAAGGGACGAAGTCGACCGGTATGAATAGATCTTTTGATGGCTACTACTGGGACTTGAATATACTCGGTTCGGTTCTTTACGATTGTTGTTTTTTGCCACTGCCATCGATCTATCGCCTCTATCTCAGCTCGCACCGCTTCCTATACAGGAATGATCTGAGGTTCTTTAGCAAATGATACTTACAGCTTGAGACAAAACCAGCAGATCTGAAATTACTAATTAGGGCTTCACTGACAATCGTATATGATCTTACTGAGTACCGTCAGTGGTAGGATTGCTAGTACGAGAACGATATACGGAGTAGTCTGTAAGTGTAGATAATAAGCGGTGAGCGGGTGGACCATGGCCCCCCTTACACAGTCTGTAGTGTTTTGATGGGATGCGGGAGTCTGTGCGGAGGGCGGCAGAGCGGCCGAAGAAAGCAGGCGGTAAGTTTGTAAACCGTACCAAATACATTTCCCCGCAAGGTATAACACCTAACGAAGTTTAACTAACGTAATCGTCAGCTGAGCGAGCCAGGCAAGCGAGCGAGCCAGCTGTAAACTCAGTATTAATTCTATACATAACAACTAATTTAAAAGTCGAATAGCTCGACTACTTCTTACTAAATTAGATTTATACTTAGTATATGATATAAAGACACTCTAGATAGTACTTTACTTTATAATATATAAATAGAAACTGATTATAGATAGAAATAATTTTATATAAAATACAGTTATATTTCATCTTTGTATATCTTGTATACTATAACTATTTAGAGCTTTGGATTATTGTTAGCTTCTTAGTAATACTTTCTTAGTATTTATATAGCTTATATTAAGTTTTTAATCTTATAACTACATAGATTGCTGAGATACTAAGATTTAAGAATTAGCTCTTCTTTTCAAAATACAGCTGGCTCGCTCGATTGCCTGGCTCGCTTGGCTGTGGTTGCAGATCAGCTGTGCTGCTTTTTCGGATCGCGTGGAACGAAAACTGCTTAATAAGCAGCTTAATTATATAACTTCCAAATAATCTGATTATCTATATAAACAGAAAATTTTATTTTATATTATCTTTTTTAATATATTTATATATTATATTTTCTATTATTAATTATTTTTTTTCTACATCCGCAACTATAGCTCAACTGAGCGAAAATATAAATATAACTATTTATTAAAAATCTTGTTTGTTATTTATTATTATTTTTATAATAAAAAATAATTTTAAAATAATTTTTAAATAAAAAATAATTTTAAAATAATTTTTTAAATAAAAAACTAATAAATTTTAAATAAAATAGTCCTAATATATATAATACTTATATAAAATCGAAGCCGGTTATTTTAAATTATTTAAATTTAATATTATAAATTTTTAATTACTTTCTAACTATTTAATAAATATTTATTAACTATTTAAAATATAAATAGTAAAATTCAGATTTATTACAGTAAGATCTACTATTATATAAATAAATACGGTAAATATAAAATAAATATTTTTTATTTATTTATATAATATTATATTAACTACTTTTTAACTATTTTAAAAGCAGTTTTTTAATATAAATAATCTATATTTATATATACAGTTTTATAATAATATAATTTTAAATAAAAATAATAAAGAAGACTGAGTTAGCTAGAATAAAATAAACTCAGCTGATAGTAAATATTTATTAATTATTTAATAAATATTTTAAAACTGCTTACTAATTATTTAATCTAATAAAAAAATCTTTTTGATAATAAAAAATTTAAATAATTTTATAATATTTTTAATAATTTTAAAATTATTAATTTTATTAATATTTCTGCTGCCAGCTCTGCTGCTGGCTTTTTTAATTAAAAAATGTAAAATAATTATATTTTTAATATTTTTGAATTTTTATTAAATAAAATTAATAAAATAAATATATTTAATTATTTAAAAAATATTTAAAAAAATATTTACTAACTACTTAGCTATATATTATTAATATATATAATATTATTTTTTACTTTAAAAACTTAATATTTTATAAGAATTATAATAATAAGTCTTATTATTATAATATTTAAAAATATATTAATTTTTTTTTAATTATTAAAAATCTGTATTTAATTACGGCTGGTGGTACAGCTGAAAAAATTAATAATAATATTAATATAATTTAATTATTTTAAAAATATTTAATAAATATTTTAAAATTATTTAAATTTATAAAAAAAATTAAATTTAAAATATATATTTAATTAATATAGAAATACTTCAGCAATTAAAAAACTACTTTTTTAAAATATTTAAAAAAAATAAATTTAAAATATATAAAAATTAAAAAAATATAGATTTTTATAAATTAATATCAGAGTACTGATATATATATTAAATCAGAATATATAAAAATAAAAAATATTATAAAAAATAAAATATATAATTTTTAAAAAATTAAAAATATTTAGAATTATTAAAAATCTAATATATATTAGACTAATACTTTTACTGTATTTTTTTATATAAAATTTATAAAAATATTCTGTAGTATAGAAGCTATAAAAATATATTAAAAATACTTATTAAATATTTTAAAATTATTTAGTAATTATTTAAATCAAATTTTTATAAACAGTAGTAGTATTTAAAAAGATTAAATTTATATTTTTTATTTTATAAAATCTTTTTATATATTTCTTCTTTTTATTTTTTAATCTCAGCTTTTTATTTATCAAGTTTAGTTTGAAGCTTTTTAAATTTTGAGCTTTTAATATTTTTATTTTAAATTTAAAAAATTAATTAAAGTAGTCTGACGCAGATCCCTCTAAAAAAATTAATTTAAATAGTTTATAAATATTTAAAAATTATTTAAAAAAATTAAACATATTATACTAAGTCTTATCTATCTGAAAGAATATCTGAAAAAATAATTATATTATTAATTTTTTAAAAATAAAAATTAAAAATTAAAAAAACTAAATTAATCAGATTTTTAACTTAATAATATAAAATAAATTTTTTTATATTTTTTTAAAAAATAGTTAGTTTATAAATATTTTCTAAATAGTTTATAAATATTTATTATTATCTAAATTTATTTAATATATATAATTAGCCTCAACAGTAAAAATATAATATAAATAAAAATAATTAAAATTAAAATAATTATTATATCAATTAATATTACTCCGATTAAGCTTTATAAAACTAAAATATAAATTATAAATTTAAACTTTTTTTAAATAATTTCTAAGTATTTAGAAACTGTTTAAAAAGTAGTTAAAAAGTATTTATTTTTTTACTGTTTCTATTAAAATTAAATATTTTTTTAATATATAAAACTTTTAATAAGATTGCTTAACTGCATTAGTATAATATTATAAATAATTATAAAAAATTAAAGAAATTCTAAAACAGACTTTAATTAAATCTATTTTAATAATTATATTTTTTAGTTAGTCCAGTTAATAACAGAATTGTTTTTATATTCTATAAATAATTAAATATTTAAAAAAATATTTAATTATAAAGACTTTCAGAAGAAGAATCCTTATTTCTTATTTTAATAATTTTTAATATTATATACTAAAAATAAATATAGTAAAAAATAATCAAATATTATAATTATCATATATAATTCTAATACTATAGATTAATCTTTAAAAAAATAATATTTAAATTCTAAATATTTAATAAATAATTAATAAGATTCTTACTACTATACTTTAATATCTATATTAAAAACTACTTTATAAAATCTACTATTATAAATAAAATAAAAAAGTAATAGACTTTTCTAGTAATTTTTTTCTAAAAAAAAAACTTATTTCAAAAGTAGATAATATCTATCAGTAATATTAAAAGTAGTAAAAATATAAAAAAAATTATTATATTAAAATATTTAATAAGTAGTTTTAAAATACTTAATAAATATTTACTTTTATTCTAATTTTTAAAAAAAATTATAAAAAAAATTTTATTTATATTATTTAATCTAAGCTGTTTATATAATATATTAATTTTAAATAATTTTAAATAAATAAGTAGTTGAAGCTGTTTTTTATAAATTTAAAAACTTATAACTTTATTTATTTTATAATATTAATTTTAAATATATAATTAAATATTAAAAATTAATAAATAAATAGTTAGTAACTGCTTAGTAAGTATTTATAAAATATTTATATAAGTAAAAAAATTAGTATTTAATAAAAAGATTAGTTTATTAACAATCTGTTTATTTAAATTCATTAAAAAATATTATTTTTAAATAATAAAACTAATTTTATTTTTATTAGAAAAGTTTAAATATAGTTTAATAAATATAAATATATTATATTAGCGGCAAAAATTCTTAAATTATAGATTTTAAAAAAATTAAATTATATAAATATTTAATAAATAGTTTAAAACTAGTTAAAAAATATTTAAAAAAATATTTATTTATTATTATATTTAAATTACAGATCTGCTGAATAAACTATTTTATTTTTTAAAAATTTTTTCTAATATTTTTATTAGCGGCGGTAGAAAATATTTATAAATATTATAAGAAATAAAAATAAAATAAAAATATAAATTTAAATTTTTAAAAATTAAAATAGAAAAGCCTGTATTATAAATAGTATAGATTAAATATTTTAAACTTTAAAAATATTATTTTTTATAAATAATATTTTAAAATTATTTAGAAACTACTTACTACAGTATTTCTACTGTAATAATAGTAATTTAAATATATCATAATTTTTTAAATAATATATTATTATTAATAAAAAGCTTTTTTAAAAAATAAAATTAAAAATTATATAATTTTAAATTATAATTTTTTAATATTTTTTTAAAAAGCCTCCAGTCTTATAAATACCGATTATATAAAATATATAATTTTTATATAAATGTTAAAATAGTTAGTAAGTATTTTGAAAGTAGTTTATAAATAATTAAAAATAATAAATACTGATTAAATAGAATATTTAAATATAGATTTATAAATTAAAAATTTTTATATAAAACTTTTAATTATAAAAAAATCTATATTTTATTTTATAGTAGCTAGAAAGTAGTTAATAAATATTTTAAAAATAATTAATAAATATTTTAAAATTATTTATGTATAAATATTCTGTTTAGTAGTATCCGTTTTTCAAAATCTTTATATTTTAATATATATTTTAAAAATACTTCTAAAAGTCTTTATTAATAAAAATATAATAATAGAATAAAAAAGACTGGCTTAAAAACTTATATTAAAAAAATATTAGAATATTTCTAAAACTATCTTTTAATTTAAATTAAAAAAAATAAAAAGAGTGTTTATTTTAAGCTATTTACTTAATACTTATTATATTATATTTACTAAACAGTTAGTAAATAGTTCTAAAATAGTTAATAAATAATTATATATTAATATTACTAATTAAAATACTAATTTTAATATTTAAAAATCTATATAGTAAAACTATATATATATATTTATATAGTATAGTTTTTAGATATTTAAAAAAATTATTAATATATTTTAAAAATAAATAGTTAAAGATAATATCTTTATCTAAATCAGAAAGATTAATAGTAACAGTTTTTAAATATAAATTAATTTTTGAGTATTTAATAACTATTTAAAAAATTATTTAAATTAAATATTCTTCTTCTGTAGAACTAAGTTTAATAATTTTATAAAAATCTATATTTAAAAAATACTTAGTAGATATTTATAAAGTACTTAGTAAGTATTTAAAATAAAGTATATAATAAACTTAAAGAAATATAAGAAAAAGTTGAATTTTAATAATAAAAAACTGTAATTTATAGAATTATATAGAATATTTCTATTTATATAAAAGGCTTGGCATCACATACTGTAGGAACGTTCCACGTGTACGCAAAAAAAAGTTCATATGAACTGTGTTCACCGCTCGGCTGACGATTATGTTAACTAGTTAGTCTATGTAATCTGTAAGCAAGTCGGCCATGTAAGCCAGTCGGCGACCCATGTATTATATACAATAGCCGATTTTAATCTTTGAATATCTCAACAACCTCAGGATATATACCTTAGAAAATTGGTGATATATAATCTCAGAGTTTATTTAATTTAATAAATTAGTTTTTTCTTTATTCAGATCTATTATTTATCAGTAGTGATTTTCTAATACAGTGTATAATTTATGTAAGATCTGTAAATAGTGTATGACTAAACAGATAAAGATTAATAAAATTTTATACTGTATATACATAAGATTATATATATATATAGCTTTTGATCTTCAATCTAAACAGATTTAATAGAAAATGGTAAAGCTAATGTGATTTGAAAATCAGCTATTTTATATGTAATCCATAGGTGGCTTACATGGCCGACTCGCTTACTGATTACGTTACGGAACATGACTAAGTGAAATACATCAAATCACTGGGAGCCTAGTCTGACGGAGTCAAGAGTGTTGCCTACAATGCTTAGTAAGTCAACTTAGCTAACTAACTATCGCTCCTCATGATTCAAGTCAGGATGTATCAAAAGGTGCCCAGCAAAGACCCGTCGAATGGACTGAAGATATCTTATCCTATATTTCACCGGCAAGTAGCAAGCTGTGTCTTGTAATTCTCCCTCTGGACCTCCAATCTGTAGACCAATATGTCTATCAATAACAGTAACCAACCCCCGCGGATTCTGCGTTTTCCGAGATCCGATGAACCCAAAGCGTGCGTACTGCTGCACGTTACCCGTCGTGGTCCTTCCGCACTAGATTTGGATCTTGTTGGGACAGAAGGAGAGTGCCCGTTCAGTGGGGCAGGTATGTTGAGTGCTATCCTCCAAGTGAAGGGAAACCTGCCTCTTCTATCAGTCGCATCGTATGCTAATGCTATTCGCTGATAGTACGGCAGTCTCACCTCAACTTGTATCGCTCAAAGAATTATCAAGGTACCGAGGACGACTGGACTCGAATCATTCTCCATGTGCTTGGACAAGCAGAACAATGTGGGAAGGAACAGGATTTATTTGCAGGGCTAGAAGCGTTAGCCATCATAAGTGGCTCCTCCGAAATCCAGGATAAAGAGATAAAAATCGTGATACGGAAAAGAGTACAAACAATAACTGTATGTTCAAGTCTAATGCCGCCTCCACCAAGTCGCCCTACTGACATTACCAAGCAAAAATTCGGGACTTTAGTGTTGAAGCAAAACGACGAACAGGCCATCCACCTCTATGACTGGACTTCTACATCGGCAGAGAGAGCTGAATTCCTCGAAAGACGTTGTTCAATCCTCCTGGATCGCTACCGCGCTGCTGAACAGACCATCAAAGGTCTCGATGCCCAGCTTAACGAGCTCATGGGCGTCAAGACTCGGCACGAAGAACAGCTAATGAACAACTTAATGCAGCTTCTCAATGAGAAAAAGTTGAAAATCCGCAACCAACAGCGCGTAATAGCCACCACGGAGGTTGCTCCGGAGGAAGGTAGGTGCTAACCGCGATATGCTACGTATTTCTAAGCTGACAAAACCAATAGAGTTCCGAACTCAAGAAACACAACGGGGCGGATCTAGACAAACTACTGCTGCTAAGAGGCGAGCGAATGGTTCAGCTTCGACACCGTCTTATGAGGTGTTGGGGAGTGGTACCGGCTTCGAAGATTCGGAAGATGACCGGGATAAGCGCCACGATAGCTCTAAAGCGGTGTCAGGCACAGACTCAGGCACAGACAATGAGCCACCCTTGATGCAGCGGCCTTCAGGGGGAGAATATGAGTCCACTACTGACGAAGACATGCGACCTTTGCCAAGTCCTGATCTTCGGATAAGCAATTCTGGTCCACATCAAACTCATTCGCAGTCCATAAGCAAGAAACAATTAAGTCCACAGCGACGAGAGCCTCCCTTTCCGAGGACGAGGGGAAATGCGACAGCTACTGTACGAATAGATCGACATGAAAACAAAGAAGCCAAGGACAGCATGGGGGAAACGGATGATGATGAATTATGATATTAACCTAACAGCCAAAGCTCCAGACCATTTTAGGCAATACAAAGGTGGTTCTTGATTGGTACTTGCTTTTTGCAATATCCTTTAGAGGGAATCCAAGCGTAGCAGATCTTAACTAATTATTGTGCAATGTAGACACTCACATTTGACAGACAGTACCCCAGCATTGCGATAGGAATATCGGGCTTGCCGTACCTCCAGCTATCATTCAGATTTTCTTATGTACAACTTGACCACTGCTGGTGTGGTTTGAGACTTATCTTGGCGTTATTGGGAGCTTTAAGACAACGCGAAGCGAAAGCACAGTACTCTACTATAATAACATTGGACTAGGGCAAAAGCAGTAAGGAAAAAAGTTGTTTAGGTGTTAAAACGACAACGCCTAGACCACCAGACAATAAGTAGAAATCGGAGTAATAGTGAGAAACCTGACATCTAGCCATACAAAGCCTTCGGGGACATCTCCCCAGCAGCCATGAAGTTTGTCTCCGGATTTCCGGTAGCCTTAGCGGCAGAGCAGCGAGCCATAGTCGGGGAACTGAGATAGAGTTAGACCACAAACAGCAATTTACCTCAGGCAATAAGCACCAGGGTGTGGGGGCATGTTAAGCACGTACCTCCGGGAAATTGAGTCTGTAAAATAGAAATCATTGATGACTTTCTTGAAAGGCGTATTAGTGGATTGAGTGCCCTTGTTCTGATCAACTAGTTGGACCTTGCTCAATGAGCTCAACGATGTTGGTTCAACCACGTCATATCGGCGCATGACAGGGCTGATCTCTTCCATACGGTCGCGCAGGGCCTCAATGTCATCGTAAGGAAGAGGTATGTTAAGGAATTCACTGGCAGCACGTATGATCTTCCAGTCATCGCGGGCAGTCCCAGGCAGAGAAGTTGCAGCTCGAGTAACTTGGACACGACCCTCTGTGTTGATGTAGGTCCCTGACTTCTCAGTGTACGCTGCGCCGGGCAGAACAACATCCGCGAGCTGAGCGCCCCGATCACCATGATGCCCTTGGTAAATGACAAAGGCGTCACTAGGGATTTCGCTCTGGGCGACTTCATCAGCACCAAGAAGCCAAACCATCTTCGGCTTGCTCTGGGTAATTTCTAGAGATGGCGTAGTGAAGCCCACTTCATAGGCAGCTGCACGGGATGCTGCGCGTTGAAGAACGTTGTATCCTTGCCATTCCGAAGTAATGAAATTGTTGGCGTGTTTCTCTACAAAATTGCCGATGGACTCGAAAATCACTTTGGCATCCGGGTGTTCGGCCGCAGCACTGCCAACGATGATCATAGGTCTTTTGGCCATAGAAAGCTTCTCTCCGAACTTTCCAGAAAGAGCAGCTTTCAAAGCGGAAACGTCTGCCCCAAGGTGCTCGAATTCGAAAGTACTTTCGAATTCCTCGCCAACAAGCCCAATTTCAAGATCTGAGCGAAGATATTGCTTGCGAATACGCGCATTAAGAACGGAAGCTTCATGGCGAGGGTTCGTAGCGACCAGAAGGATTGCATCGGCCTCCTCAATTCCATAGATCTTGGAGTTGAAAAGATAGTTGGAGCGAACATCAACACCGTGCGCAACCGGGGAACTGCCACCAGGCTGATCTAGTGCAAGGTTGTCGGACCCAAGCTTATTGGCCAGATCCTTCATGGCCACTAATGTTTCGGCATCGACAAGATGCCCGGCAACGGCCTTGAACTCATTCTCCGTCACATGAAGTCGCTGGTGGGCTGATGAAATCTCGGACAAAGCTTGCTCCCAAGTCGCGGGAACAAATTTCCCTTCCCGACGAATCAAGGGCGTTGTGAGTCTTTGGGTCTTGAGGCCATCACAAGCAAACCGAGATTTGTCGTTGATCCATTCCTCGTTGATATCATCGTTCAGCCTCGGAAGTATCCGCATCACTTCCATGCCTCTGGTGTCTATTCTTATGTTCGACCCCAGAGCGTCATGCACGTCAATAGACTCAGTGTGCTTCAATTCCCAGGGGCGAGCACGAAAAGCGTAAGGCTTGGATGTAAGAGCTCCAACTGGACAAAGATCGATGATATTGCCAGAAAGCTCGGAGTCGAGGTTCTTCTCCAAGTATGTACCGATTTGCATGTCGTTTCCTCTGCCGGTGGTGCCGAGTTCGGGGGCTCCGGCAACATCATTCATAAATCGAACACAACGCGTACAGTGGATACAGCGATTCATAGAGGTTTTAACAAGAGGCCCAATATTCTTGTCTTCGACAGCACGCTTGCCTCCGACCTCGTGGAAACGTCCACGGTCAGCACCATACCGCATAGATTGGTCCTGGAGATCACACTCTCCACCTTGATCGCAAATAGGGCAATCCAGGGGATGATTGGCAAGAAGAAACTCCATCACTCCTTCCCTAGCTTTATGCACCAGTGGCGAATTGGTTTTGACGTTCATGCCAGGCTGCACAGGCCAAGCACATGATGCCACAGGCTTAGGGGCCCGTTCGACTTCGACGAGACACATACGGCCTGTGAGAAAATCAATATTTGTATCGAAACAGAAAATTATCCAAGCTCAGACACATACAGTTACCTGCAATCAAAAGCTTCCTGGAATGGTATTAGCAAAGCGTGTCATTCTGTTAGGAAAGACGTTACAATGATGGCAGCTTACTCGTGGTAACAATATCTATTTAGGTCGGTCAATTTGCGTTCACCATGTCTTCATTGAGTACTTCTTACCTGGGTACTGTCGCACCTGCCTTTTCACAAGCTTGGATAAGAGCCGAGCCAGCTGTTCAAGTCATGTAAGAAGGGAGTTCAGAGATTGCACAAGGGAGACTGAGTCACCTTCTACCGAAACCTTCTTTCCATCTGAAGGGATGCGTTAGTGGAGGCATTGAAGTGGCTTCAATATCGCAGAGACTGACCGATAGTGAGTTCCACCTCGGCAGAGCGAGGGAATGTCGTTGCGAAGGTCCTGAGATGGTTGACCTTTGGGACCCGGATGAGCCGGGCGGCCGCACGATATAGCTGCGGCCGCATAATGTGAGGAGAGTCAAATGTTATAAGGGTGAACAAGAGCGGCATCCACCTGGAGAGTAGGTAGTAACAGGGTGGCAGGATAGGTCCTTCGTTGGAGAGAGCACTTTTGGTCTGACTCGGATTCTGCCAGACACGAGTCGGGGCGTCACTCGCAAATTGCCGCCCGCGGATTGGTTCGGTTATGCGGCAAAATAAATCTTCCGGGGCGCCTCTTCTCTTCCTATAAACAAGCTCTGTCCCTCCGTCCTCCTTCTTTTTCCTTTTCCTTTTCAGACTTATAAACTCATTTCACGGGCATGATTATTGTAGGTGGCAGGGTTCCGATGTCTCTTCCTCCTCTGCTACATAGCCCTAGAACATTTGCACTGAGCTGGAGCTCCTTAGGGCTGTTTTCGTCTTCACATCAGTGAAAATGAGTCAGCCTGATGCAGGTATAGTTCTTTACTGACAGTTGCTACATTTTTTAAACCTATTGCCAGATCTATAAATCAACAACTCTGAGGACATTACCTCCAGGCAGTCATCACATGCCGCTACTCAGATTCTAGTTATAGAAATAACATGGACTTGCACTCGAAAGTATGGAATCGTCATGCTCCAATATCTTTCCAAGTCTTGTCGTAGGCACGCCATCTAACAAAAGAATGGTCGTAGCGCCCTCATCATTCTCCAGACAGTGATTAGGTACATCGCAAAATTGTCCACATTATTGCTACCTCGATCATTATAATATCCGATAAGACGTGTGCCGATGGCAAAATGCTAGTAAGACGTAAGAACGAGGGGCGACAGGAATACAAGGCGCAGCTACGCCTAGGAATAACTAGGGCGCCATGTAGTCTGGTTGCCGGATGCCAGGAGCCAACCAAGCGCGGGAAGTACTGCTTCCTCTTGGGCGAACATAGCCCTGTCCGTCATACACCTTCTTCAAGTCATTCGTATGCGAGGGTGAATCGCCCAAGGATTGATGATCCGAAAATTTGCTTGCTGCTGGAGAGAAGCCAGTGGGCTCTCGGGCTCTCACTGGTGTCCGTTCGTTCAACGGAAGTACCGTTTCCTTGACGCGGAAGCGATCGGCGTTGGCTCTCTGATCGGCTAAATCATCATGGCTGTTGCGATCGTATAGATAAAGCCCAACAAATGTGAGGAGAATTCCAAGACCTTGTACAGGGGTTGTAGAGCTCCCGAACCAAACGATCGCAACAATAATAACAAACACTCGCTTGACCAATGATGCAACAGAGTATGACACGGGCGAAATCATAGATAGAAGGATGAACGCCAAGATGTTCTGTGCAAAATGCGACACACCATTGAATACGAATTCGAGAAACAGAGCACCATGGTCAAGAGAGCCCTCTTTTTCTGTGAGGGAAATCGCACCGTCCTTCATGAAGTCTGATATTAATGGGTATCCTTCGCAGACAACCCAGATGGGCAGGGTCAGGACAAAAGCTAGACCAGAGCAGTAATACAGCAAGTTCAGCTTGTCCATTTTTCGCCGGCTTGTCGGCTCAAGGTTGGATTCTGCTCGTGCCGCTTCGTTAAACAGCTTCTTCGAAAATATGTTCTGTGACACAAAAACGAGGGCTGCGACTAGCGCACATAAAATGCCGAAGAAATTAGTGGAAAACCCCGTAGAACACGCGAGCATAACACCGAGGGTTAGCGGAATGAGGGACAAATACGTCGCTCTGGCGTAGCGAATCCGAAATAGCACACGATATGCCATGACCGTGAAGAGGGGTGATAGTCCCTTGATGGTGTGAACGAGTGAGACAGGTATCTGTGAAGTAGCCATGGAGCTGAGAATATGTCCGGCTAACTGAAAAATTGCTAAAGGCAAAGCAGTAACAATGATATCGCGCGATGGTGTGTGGATTCCATGCTTAAGTGCTGGTATGCTATCCTTGAGTGAAGGTAGCATTCTTGACACAGACGACAACAGCAGGCACCAGAAAGACACAAAAGCAAATTGTACCATGGTTAAGGTGATTGGCTTCGGCAGCGCATTCAAAATCGATTTTGAGGAGGTGTTTGTCAGAGCC